ACAGGGGCCAATGGGGGCATAGTTGAGAACTGCAGTTCAACCCATTGCTCCTTTAGCTATATCTGCACTAAATACTAGAAATTTGGCACAACTACACATTTTCAAAATTGACTAAACCCAATGACAAACAAACAATACCCTATTATATAGGTCACATGACATAAGAATGCATGTGTTTGGCATTTCATCTTTAGCAGCACTGGCTCTAACAGCTCATGGATGGAGGCTGCGCGTGTAAATACAAGTAAGTCATGAGGGCTGTGATTAAGATGGAGACAGAGACATTGTTATCTAGTAGGTCTCTGTTTTTGGATCTGGTTTGAGCAGCAGGAGGCCTGTGGGACGCTGGTTGAACAGGCCAAATCTGTTTTTATGATTTGTATTGTTAATATAAATATGAGCAAACTATTGGCAACAGACTTGCTGTCTGTGTCACTCCACTCCCTAGTTCCCCGTGTCATGAATCAATATATCTTTTGAGGACTAGCAAGGGCCTTGATTCACAAAACATTAAGACACGGATGACACAATTACCTGCAACATGACTGCAAGGTCATATATTAAATATAGCTTATCATACAATAAATACAGCAATAACATTGCTGCATTAAATGGCAATATTCTTCATTGCAGTTTTGACGAAGCAAAACAGTTATTCAATATTAAAGGAATATGTTAAAAAATATAATTGCAGAATATAATTTAAAAAAATGAACAAATGAAGAGTGATTATTTTAACCTAACAATTCTAATTCATATTATATATATTCATAATGTATAATAATAATGTATAATATCTAACAAATAAATAAACTTAATGTTTAATAAACTTAATAATAAATAATAAAATAATAATAATAATAATAATAAAATAAATTTCCCTTTCATGCACATTACGAACAAAAACTTATGTAAAGACTGAAGAAAAAATACACTTGTGCTTGCAAAATTTTCAGTTTACTGTAACAGTTTTGATAGTGAGAGGGTTTATTGTTAACTAAAAGTAAAACCATGAAAAATTCCTTGAACATTAAACATTAAATAACAAGCAATTTCTCTCTTTTTAGTTTAAGTTGAAGCACTAAAATCCTATAAAAACCCCTATAAACATGCAATAAAAACAAATGACAAACACAATAAAATGACTAAAAATGTAACTAAAATCCAAATGAAAACAGAAAATATACAAATATAAAACTGAAAATAATTTATAATATTAATATAAAAAACTATAATAGTATATCAGTGACAGCGAAATAACTTTGCAATGAGACAGCCCTAGAAATGTCTGACTCCCTGGGTAGTGTGCTTATTTAAGAATTAGGGAGCAGGTTGAGAATAACACACAAATCTGCTATAACGAAACATTTTAGTGTAAGTGCCTTCCTGTAGCTCAAATAATGCATAACTCTGAACATGTGTAAGATTGCCAAGGAAAGCAAGAACTGATCAAATGTCTACCTTGAATGCAATGGAAGTTGCTTTGGCTAAAAGCATGTACCAAATACAAAAATGTAAAATGTATGTAAATGTAAAAGGTATCAAAGGTCAAGAAGTGACCACAGCTGCATCCTAAACCTGGCTTACAAATGTCACATTAATAAGCCACGCAAAACATAATACAGGACACACATGTATGCACCTCATTCCCAGAACCCACAAATGAGGCATCACCGTCAACTGAAGCCTTCTAAAATTACAGCAGTTTAGCATTTAGCGCTTCTGTTTCCCGTAACTTTGTTCACATACACTATGAGTCCATCTCAAACTACAAGCGTAAACAGTACATGAGGGCCAATAGGTTTCAAAATAAACTTTTTGGCTGAGCACCAAGACAAAGACTGTTATGCCATTATGTCCTCCACATAAGTACTCCATGCTTTTAAAATCATACTAGAGTGACAATTTTGAATGACAGATATGGGTTTTTCTCAGAAAGCATCAGACCCAGCATTGTGCACTTTGTTTCCTGCAGACTAGAATATGATCGAGTAACGCTTAGCGCACAGGGTCTCTTTAGCATAAACCTTCAATTATATTCCATTTCATTTTGCTTTCATTTTCATTCTGAGGACAGGATGTAGTCCAAACCTGTTTGCAAATTCAATGTGCTTACTTTAATAAAGCATTTAAGCAATTAAGCAGATGCAAAATGATCATATAGATTATGTATAGTTTGAGTCAAAGATAATTAAAATCCAACACCATCTGCATCAGAACCAAGTATGTGACACACACACTTTGCTGCAGGGCCAAAACCAATTTATCTAAACTTTTGCAGCTGCACGACTGAAAGGGCACTAACTAGGATGCACCATCCAAAAACAGCCTTCTATAGATAACACACGGACCAAACTGAATCTTTTCCTCTTTTTTTAACTTTTCCTTTATGTCTTTGTCCATACATATCATACAAAAGCACTAGCTGAATGATAAATGTCTGTTGTTAACGTGTAATATGAAAATAAATGCGGCTATATTTGGTTATACTAGATTTGTATTTTATCTTATTTAATGATAATCATAATCGTTGCATTGTAACTGTCACATCCCATGAACAATGGCTTACAAACTGCACCTGGGACTAATTAAACTCAATAAAAACGTTAAAGCCTTACATTATTTTTACTGTGTTTATTTTAGTCCAACTTCTTGAAGTACTTGGGTTATGCGCAATGATAGGTGGGTAAATTTCCTGTGATGTATAGATACACTAACAATATTTAAAGAAAAATAGTTCACCCAAGCATGAATATTCTGTAATTATTTACTGAAACTTGAGTATTTTTCTTCACAGAAGGAGACATTTTGAAGAACGTATTGGTTTCTGTTGCTGCAAAAGCACCATAAAGTATTAATAAATATGACCATATTTACTTTAAGTCTTCTCAAACCAAACAATAACGTCTCAGGTTACTTATGTAACCATGGTTCCCCGAGTAGGGAACGAGACACTGCGTCCTCTAGGGGTCGCTATGGGGAACGCCTCATCGTGACCCGTGTCTGAAGCATACATTGAAAAAACACCAACTCGTTGGCCGGCGACAGCCATGACGTCACTACCGGTGCGACTATAGTATAAATAAGCGCCGGGAGGACGCAGTTCGAAGTTCCCATGAAAGGGAACTTTGTGTGACACAAACTAAAATTTAAGCCATTATGCACTGAAAGTCATGCGTTTGCATAATTTCCAAAGCACGACAGCTCCAGTCCCTGTTCATTGCGATTATAAGGAAAAGCGCAACCAGCACATTTCGTCAAAATATCTTCTTTTGTATTCCAAAGAAGAAAGAAAGTCATACAGGTTTGGAACTACATAAAGGTGAGTACAGTAAATATAATGATGGAATTAACATTGAACTGTCCTTTTAGTTAACCATGGATCTGTCCACCCCCTTTCCAGAGGGTGCAAACTTTAAATGATTATTTGTCTATGGCCATGCCTCTGGAGGACAGCTATAAATATACCAGCAGCCAACAGTGCAGATTAAAAGCAGACAATGAGCAACAGGAAGCGATTTTGAGGAAAGGTCAGGCTAAGATTACATGGGCGGAGGTAAGCAGGGTGGCTGTTGGTGAAAGCTCCCCTCGTTTTGTGGCCCCTCTGCAGGCACCAGTTACAGGTGATTCCTTTGTGGACAAATGCACAGAGAACCTAAATATATGCTAGAATAAGTAACATGTCAGAGAATGAAAACTGTCCATTTCATTTATTGCAAAGTCTATTGCGTTTAATACATTGCTCTCCCAAGAAATTAAGTCAGATTCACCTCTGAACAGAAGCCATGGCTAAAACTTCTACAAGGCAGGAGGGTGTGTGCTTAAAGGGATATTGCATTTCCTCTGAGTTACAAACTCATTCTGAGAACATGCACTCTCTCCTTCCTTTAAGCATTGCACATATTACTCAACTTTTCATCTTTGGTCTGAATTGTACACCACTGGAGATGTAGCCTTGTGAACCGGTTTTGTTGCGGCTGGAAGAAACTTTTTAATAAGCAACCGACCGGATATATCAAAGTTATTCACTGAGCACTTGACAATGTGACTATTATATGTAGGATTCAACCACACACTCAACCAAAAGTTCGATGTTTATAGGTTTAAACATGGAGTGAAGTAAACACCTGGGTTAGGAACTATTCTCAAGACACTCAAACTGACATGCACTAAATCTTGAGCATTTAAGTCTGAGCTTATCCCTTAAGCACAGCGATGTTCCCTTAGTGTACATCTTAAATTCTTTGCCAAAAGCTGTTCCTCGTTCCCCTTGAACTGTCACACAGAAATCTAAAAATACAGTACCTCTCCCTCCCAACAAGCCTGACAGGTGAAACACTTTAAAGGTGCACTCAGTGAGTTTTGGTTTAGGTTTAGTTTGTTCTTACTTGTCGCAATGGGCAACTTTGATTGTTGTCACACTATTTGTCCACTTTTTCTGTTTGAAGGCACACAAACATGTTGATCCATCCTTCTTTGTAAAGCACTTTTTAAAGTAAACCAACACACTCTCATGGCAATTTGTAACTATTTTACGGTATTTGCAGGTTTTTTTCTAAATCTAATTTGTACGTTTTTGCACAATCAGCTAGATTTAGGGGTGGACCTTCATGCTTGTTTTATTTCTAGAAAGCACACGTTTCCATGCGAATCACATTATTCATATTTTATGAAACTGGCATCTTGTAAAACAGTTACTTTTTCATAACGTTGCGTTGATTAACATTAATATCGTCAATATTTGTGGTTGTCAACTGCATGCCACAGTTGGTCATGTGACAGTAACATGGCAGCACCCATGAGGGGGAGACCAGCTCTGTGTGGAATAACAGCTTTTTTTCTAGAAGATTTTGAGACGTCCTCTCATGAGAGTGTATAGCATTTTAATTACGCTTCCCAAAAGTGTCTTTATTAGTAAAACTTTTTCATTAGCATAAAGTTCACTTTTAGAGTCACAATCAAAGTCGTGTGCTCATTTCCAACATTCACTCGCAGAAGTTGTTAGAATGGTATTTAAACGCTTACCAAACCACACCGAAAGCTCCGTATCCGATCGGTCTGTCCGGCTCTATATCCAGCTGTTGTAAGTGATGCGAGTGCTGGTGGTGGTGGTGGTGATGCGCCTTCACGGCGGCCGCGGCGGCGGCTTGAACTTGCGCTGGGGCTGCAGCGGCCGCCGGCCCCGGAGCTTGTCCAGGAGCGGGCGAGGGGAAGTACGGCTGCTGCTGGCTCGGGTTCAGCATCACCGCCGCCGCGGCGGCAGCAGCAGCGGCCGCGGCCGTGGAGGCGTGCTGCTGTACGGGGTGCACGGCGGCGGCCGAGCCGGGGTGCTGGAGGTGATGCTGGCCCGGGTGGTGATGGTGGTGGAGGTGGGCGGGTGGCGGGAGATGGGGCAGCTGGTGGTGATGGTGCGGGTGATGCGCCGCCACTGCCGCGGTGCCGCCGTTGTACGCAGCCATCATTTTCGCGGCATTGGAAGCCGTCGTTCCGCACAGAGCCATTCACTCACTCAACAGCCCGAAATGAGAGTTGGTAAAACAAAACACAAAGAGGCGAACGAGATGGAGAGGGAGGCTGCCAAGATGTCAAACTCTCATTTGGCTGTCATCGAGCCAAACGACGGGTCAAATCAAAGCAGAAATGTCCGGCATACATCGAAATGAGCGCGAAAAGGTGTCATACTAACAACTCTCCAGCTTTGATCTGACCTACTTTGGAGGATCTTTCGCGTTATACGTTCCAGACTAGCAAAATGACTACCGCGGACATTCGAGAAAGCCCTCGCGGAGGGTAAACAAAAGAAAAGTAAAAAAGGAGAGAGGGATCAAATCAAAATAATGCGCTCCCCCCATAATAAATCAATTCCGCGCGGCCTTAAATCTCCCTCATGTTGGAGGCATGAGGAGCACCTTGCTTCGCTCGAAACTCGGGCTTGTATGGAAAGGGAAATCAGGTGTATAGCACAAGTTACGGGGGAAATGCAACATTCATCTTTTAGATTTCTTCATATTTGCCATTTTGGGCTCATCCAGCCCTGTTTCCACCGCCAGGGCTGCATGCAGTTTGCAGAAGTTACGTGGATCTCAATCAGGCCACCGTTGCTGACTTGGTACTTGCTCGCCAGCTTACTTGTTTACATTTACATGAAAACGCGCAATTCTCCCGTGCGAAAAGACTGCTACACTGTATCGATCCGGGAAGCTTGTTTTGCAGTATGGCGCTCTGTTGTCGCTTTCAGTTGCGCTCGAGCCCGAAGCTGTAGATGGATAGCTCCAGATCCGCTCCAAATGTCAAAATCCCCTCGAAACACCCATCACGCTGAGCAATCCGTTTTCCTGAAACAAGGAAAACATTCTTCCGAAGCCTTCAACTTATTTTCCCCATCGAAAACGTTGTGCTCGTTCACCGGCGTGCCGCTTTCCTGCGCTCAATATCGTGGGCATGTATATCCAGTGAAGAAGAAATCAAAATAAAAACAGCCAGTGTTCCTTGCAGTCATAAAACAGGCGGCCAGCGTCCTCACCCCCTCGCCGGATGGTGCTGCCAGGACCTGGGAAGGCACACGAGCAACCTTGCCGTCTTGGGTACCCGTCTATTCCTCGACCGATCGACGGGTCTCTGAGCCAATCGCGTTCCGCTTTGGAAGTAGCACAGCCAATCAGCGGACGAGAGGAAGAGACGGCGGTCCAGCCATAATAAACAGGCCCTTGTTGCATGTGGAAGCTAGCGCCATTACGGCTACACGTTACTGTAAAAGACAGTGAGAGTCTACGGAGGCTTTGAGCCGAAATGGAGAGCGAGGGGCCCCACTTACCCAGCGCTATTACGCAAGACATGCCATCCAATTAGCACCTGCCATTGAAGTGAGTCCCTTGTCTGAAAGGAGAGCCATGATTCGCTGTCCAATCGTTTTTCAAATCGAAGGAAAAATGCACAGTAACAAGGACGGTCAAACATTATACAATGTATATTATAGAAATATATTATACAGTTTACAAAGTTTATAGTTTGTTGTTACAGTACATTAAAATATGTTTAACTTTGAAAGATAGTGTAAAGTTTAATTTCGAAGTCTATATGGGGATACTTAATGATTAATTTGTTCATAATGAGAAATGTTTACATTATCACGGAACCAATTTCTCACCATTAATGATCAACACATCTATAAACTTTTGGGAATGTTTATTGAATGTTTGTTTATTTTATTTATTATTTTTTAAATTAAATGTTGAATGACATTTGTCTACAATGTTTTAACTTATTTATTTAAATTTCTGTTGGCCAAGAAAAAAATCTAAATGTGACCTTTTTGGGTAACACTTTATTTTAAGGTGTTCTTGTTACACGTTAGATGTACTTACTATTATAATAACAATAAATTATGCATAATTACATGCAAGTAACCCTAAAACAAACCCTAATCCTAATCCTAACCATATAGTAAGTACATGTAGTTAATTAATATTACTCAGTACTTATATGTATAATTACACTGTAACAAGGACACCTTAAAATAAAGTGTAACCTCTTTTTGTATGTTACGTAATTGTTTTGCTGTGTCATGTTAAGTAATTGATTTACTGTTTATTATCATTATTCCCACTGTTCGGTCAATGTGTCAAAAGTTTTTTTTTCTGGTCATTAGATTATTTTGCATCAAAGATGTTTAGGTATGTATCTACACATCAGTTGACAGCATGAGAATTATTCACTGGAGTACAAAGTATGACAACTATCCCCAGCATCCTCTAAAATTAAAATATTAGGTAACATAATTGAATAAATCAGCTTACACTTACACTTACATTTTACTTTTTTTTTTTTTTAAGAGTAGGCTTGATTATGAGACTGGAAAACTTAATCAAGGTGACTTGAGCAGTTTAGAGGGTACAGCTGTACATTCCACACCTTTGACCTCAACTCTTATGTGTTTGCTTAAGGATAAATGCTTCATCTCAGCTGGCTCTCACAGCACTGGCAGTGTACTGAAGCATGCAGGTGACGTGTTTATTCCTGATATATCTTAAAGCTCTGTTTAAGCATTAACTCAGAATCTTTGAGTAATTTTCAACAATTATTTGATAGCATAGTGGTTGAATGAGGTTATAGACCTTATAATATGGCCTTTTAAATTTTTTGGCAAACCAGTGTTGCAGTATGATGCTGCTATATCTAAGTGTTGTAGTTTCCTGGAATTTAACCACCAGGGCATTAAAGGCAGAAACTAAAGCAAAGCGATCAGCTGCAGAATCTTCCAGAAAGAGTGACTGCTGTACGTGTCTAATTAACCACTGGAAATATTTTGAACAGAATAATTAATCCTCTTGTCAAGGTCCAAAATAAACTGGTGCCCTCCTTTAAGTGCAGGCCTAGTTCTTATGGGTGAGTGGGACGTGCTCTACATTGAGCCCATCTGCACCAGAGGGAGGATGCTAACTGTCCCTCAAAAAATAAAAAAGACAGGACTAAATCAGGCCCCATTGATTTGGACATTGTTCTGTCTAAAAATGTAATATTTTAATCAATAATGACATGGCATCATCCACAATGACTTCACATCTTTTCAGTTGAAATTACTGTGCTGAATTTGCACTTGCACGCACATGTAATCTATATAAATAAATCACTGCATCCCCAACTGGTATAGACCTTAGTCAGGTTAGACATCATATGAATTTAACGTGGATGAAAATGAGTCTGGACCAAAAACGTAACCGTTTTATGGAGTTTGACTACATTTTCTTTAATCATTTATATTTTTCCAGAAAGACGTTTTTTTTCAGCTGAACAATTGGTATGCTGTCAAACAACAGTACAATCCATTGAACGCACTGTACTTTTATTAATTAAACTATTATTAATGCTATATTTAAATTACAGTCGATTATGATGATGCCTGTATTCTGCATCCTGTCTCATCTTTCTCAGCGTTTCATCTTTTCATCAGGCAGCATATGGCACATGAAAACTTCCAGAGATTTAGTTCATTCTTAGTCACAATGTGCATGAATTAATTGATCCATGACCCTGAAAGCTTCACAGTAAGATATATGCGTGTTAATTAATTAACACTGCAAGATAGAAACAAAACAATGAAACTATTATTATCTTAATTTTATTAGTATCCTTCTGTCTCTTCAAAATGAGACTTTATTATGAATGCAAACACATAGATCTGGACAATTAAGGACATTTGTGTAATACCTGCAACAATTAAATGCTGCTAACAAATGAAACAGTCTGGTCTTAGCTGGCAGAACCTATACTAAAGGTGGTTTTTCATAACCTAGAAATAGTCCACCAGAAATTAAAATTCTGTGATTCGTTCTTCTGTTGAGCACCAAAGAAGAGATTTTGAAGACTGTTGATAACTGTTGACTTCCATTGTATTTTTTATCCAAACAATGGAAGCCAATGGGAACCGAAACTGTTTAGTTACCAACATTTTTCAAAATCTTTTTTTTTTTGTGTGTGTTCCACAGAAGACAGTAAGTCATGCAGGTTTGAAACAACATGAGAGTGAGTAAATGATGGCAAAATTGTAATTTTTGGTGAACTATCCCTTTAACCACTGGATTGTGGTGAATATTTTAGGGTTGAGGGTTGATAGTGCAGCATCTGAGCGCTGATTAACTGGATTAAAGGCAATATAGAGGAACCCTGCTGATTTTTACTGTATAGATGAAGATACAGCAATTTCTTGGGCTGCATGCTGTTACTAACACCAAGTCAAATCAGTTATTGGGTACATTGATGAATGGGACATGTCCAGCCTCACCTTATTGAGCTTTCACAGCAAAAAAACAGTTCCGGAAAGATTTATTTTGTGCATTTTCAAAAGCAATAAACTTCAGGACTATATGATCTTGGAGACCGAGACAAACGCATGGATGTTCCTAGGTGAACGCATCTCAGCCAGAAATAACTTTTAGGCTGGTGGGTTATTAATGAAGTAATGAAGGAAGAAGATAAGAAATGTTTTGTCACAGCAGCAGGAGTGATATTACCCAGTGTCCATATAGGATGTTGTAAAATTTAAGAATAGCTTAAATTTGAATCTCACTGTTGGGTTCTCAACTATATCTGAATTCTGAGTCATTGCAATATGTGTGATTATTAAGGGAGTTTTTCAAATATTGAACTGTAATATTTGCTTTTATTGTATCTGAATACATAATATGTGTATTTACTGAGGCCACATATATGTATTTTCATCTATGTAGACGGTTTCTGCAAAATATCTGTAAAACATTCCTATTCGGAATGTGTAAGGACATTCAGCCATAGTTCACCCAAAAATTAAAAATACTTTAATCATTTATTCACCCTCATGTTGTTCCAAACCTCTATGAGTTTTTTTTCATCTCTGGAACATAAAAGAAGATATTTTGAAGAATGTCGGGAACCGAAACTGTCTGACTGCCAGCATTCTTCATATCATGCTTCTTTGTGTTCCGCAGAATAAAGAAATACATACTGGTTTGGAGCAACATGAGGGTGAGTAAATAAAGACAGAATTTTCTTTTTTTGGGTGGCTTATCTCTTAAAGTCATTTATGATGTGATGCATGCTTTTAAATGGTGCACTTCTTAGTGGGTTTTATGTTTTTAATTTTTTTTATTGTGGTTTAAATAAACCTCATTATGTACGCACCATGTTTAAATGCATTAAACTGCCTTGAAGTGATATGCAAAACGCAAGCTTTTGTGTCCATGGGTTTTGATGAGAGGTTCTCAGGCAACACAACCCATTTTGGACATTCTGTATGCATAAGATATCTGTTTGATGTTTGTTCATGCCAAGAAAATGTCTTCCTCAAGTACACTCGAGTGTTTCTTTGCAAGCCCAATGCAGCAAACAGCATCACCCAGCAAGGTAAAGCTATTTTTTTTAATTGTATTCTGACTAGATTATCAAGTCTGTTAAAAAAAAAAACATTTTAAAGATGCATGCACTCTGTGATTATGTACTATTAATAAAAGGATTGTAGAGATCTGAATTCAGCTAATGTTTTGCTGGCCAATACAACTGAGGTCTTAGACTTTATACTGACACCTACTGGCATGGATGCAAAAGTTTTCCGATGCCATTGTAGAATTTGATAGACATGGGTGCACGTCTCCTTTATTCTGCTTAATACATAATTCCAATCATATTTTTCAACATTTTCCATTTTCTTTTTTTAAGGGCTTAAACTTTTTGTTTCTAAGTGCAAGGTTTGACATATTGACTAAGATATACAGTATCACAAGAGTGCAAAAAGTGGCTGAGGATGTCATTAATACAGCCCATAATTTTCAACACCACGCATGATCAATAATTGAATAACATGCATTTTTCATTGTTCATTCAGTTTGACCAGCTACTCAGGCACACTGAGAGATTCAGTTCACATCCTGTTGAAAGAATGAAGGATGCAAAGGAAAAACATGATTGCACTCTTGACCATAACCAATAATATCTAAGCTTGTACCCACATAAATCTAATAGTGGACAATGATATAGTGAAATTCTCTTGCTACAAGGATTTACTGAATGGTTGAGGATAACCCAGGCGTGGGGATCTGCACAGAGATTCGGTGTCCTAATTAGGCCCTGGCATTGACAGTGAGTACTGCTTGGGGCACTGTGGAGGGGAAGCTGCAGGAATGTAGTGCTGAATAACTCCAGGCAGACCATAGTATGTAATTGGAGCAGAAAACAGATGGTCCTGAGCATGCAAAAGAAAACACATCAAAACACGGAGTAGCCCATTGGATATAATCATCCAAATCGCTGGTGCATCATGATTAGGGGTGGAAATCGCAAAGATTGCAAATCTGGTTCCTTAACAGTTCCATTAATCAATATTTTACTACATGTATGGAATAAATATTTGGGAAAAAGAGTTGAAGTTTCATCATTTCAATAATAAATGCATTTAAATGTAATTCTTACAAAAGGCGTCTACACAAATTATTTAATGACCTTCAATTTCTATAGAGGTGGTGGTCTGAAAATTTGTGCTACCTACTCAGGATGTGTAGTTAAAACAGACATATTTTAATTAAAATATTGGTAGAACATGTGAGGCATGAGAGAAGCTGAAGCTGTTGGATGTACTATCACAGTGTGAAATGTGCTAAAAACGGAGGTAGCAGGAAAATAATGTGCTATCAGCATAACGTTTATATGGTGCGATATGGCTTTACTACATGCTCTAATCCTGACCTTAAAACCATGTGGACAGTGTTGGAAACACATCCTGTTATGCAGTCCAATAATTGGCATTATACTATTCAACAACACCAAACAAAGAAAAATGTAGTAACATATTTCATAATACTGGCACATCTCATAATAACTGCATATTGTTTCATAACAGCTACTAATTTAAGTTATATGAGCTCTGTGTGTGTACCTTACTTAACCATATTTTGGAGACAAATTTGTATCCAGAAGTGAGCTAAATCTGATGAAACCTCCCAAAACAAGAGTTTTTGTTTTCTTAAAACTGTAAAAATGCATTAAGTTTTCTGTACATTTTAGGTCATATAAAACTGTATATAAAAACAATATGGAATATGGAATTTCCACATTTAGAAAACTTGAAGTTAATGCCTGTTAATGTGATTGCTTGACTAAAAAACTGACTCATGATAATCATTCAGTCACGAATTGTACTACATTGGTTGCTTTGTATGTTTTTGATTTACTGAAAGAATCGTCTCATAAGAGTAATAGTAGGACTTCACTGATCGCGCTATATGTTTGTGATTCACTAAAAAGAACCATCTCACAAGAGTCATTCGCTTGGGAGTCAGACTACACTGATCGCGCTATATGTTTGTGATTCACTAAAAAGAACCATCTCACAAGAGTCATTCGCTTGGGAGTCAGACTACACTGATTGTGCTATATGTTTTTGATTAACTAAAAAGAATGGTCTCATCAGAGTAATTTGTTCATGAGTTGGCCAGGGGCGTAGCCATCATTTCAGAAGTGAGGGGGACAGAATGTTATATATATATATTGGACTACACTACGCTGTTTGTTTTTGATTCACTATAAAGAATCGGCTCACAAGAGTCGTATGTTAACAGAACCAGATGTCATTTGATTCGGGTATTTTTTAATTCAAACCAATCAGATTTCAATAATAACCAGATCAGGTTCTTGTTTCCCAATCCTATGATGTGCACCAGCAATGTGCTCAATCAGAATCATAGTTCAGCTGATAACCTCAATTATTAAGATATTCGGAAGAAGTGTTAATGGTATAACACTTTAATATAGGGACCAATTCTCACTATTAACTAGTTGCTGTTTATTAATACTTATAAAGCACATATTCTGACATCCCTAATCCTACCCAATACTTAAACGTAACAACTACCTTACTAACTAATAATAAGCAGCAAAATAGTAGTATATTGAGGCACAAGTCATAGTTAATGGTTTGTTAATGGCGAGAATTGGACTTTAAAATAAAGTGTGACCATGTTAATAAATTGCAATCTGTCCATAATATTGCCTATAATCTGTCTTAAGCTACACAACACTGTCAAAAGTAAGTAGACACCCAAACACTACTCCCAAATGAGCTTGTTGAACACTTAATTTCAAAGCCATTGGCATTAATAAGAAACTGCTCATCCATTTGCTGCTATAACTGCTTACACTCCCATGGGAAGGATTTCCACTAGAAGTTGGAGCATAGCTGCAGGGATTTGATCCCATCCTGTTGAGGTCAGGCGGGGACCCAGTTTCATGTTTTATGGTGTGTACATGTTCTTTCGGCCACCTATTGTACATGTCAGTCATTCAAACATAACATGTAGTAAAGATTACAGAGCGGAACAAAAGAACATAATTTGTACATGGCTCGAAAACGATGAAAAGACCACATGAGGAATGTCATGGAAGTATGTAATTGATTTTTTTTTTTTAATTATGTGCATGTAAATGATTCATGATTGGATTTAATGAATCCAATACTCTAGGTACAAGTTTTAATTGCAAAATCAGGTTGTATAATGAAAAAACATCGCCGTTCATGCAGCTACAGTCACAGAAGCCTTCAGGCCTTCTTTCAGAGCGAAACGCTGTGTGCTCGCCACACATCACAGTGGTACTGTGTACATAGTGACTAAGGCTGCAAGTGTTCCACTGGTGAGAGACTGAAGCATTGTTGGTTTGCCTGTGGCAGAGAGAAAGGGAGCAGTATCTGCTTGGCTTTAGTCACAGAAGCATAGAATAGAGCCTACAAAGACATTCAGTGACACTGACCTCATACTCTGAGAGTCAGCTCTATTTAAAGCACAAGGATTCTTTCTGCTGTCTATTTTTACTCTCCCGTCTTGGGCATATTTCTGGCGGGGGACGGGGGGAGGAGACTGAAATCACTGCCGTTTGCGACAATTCTATCACTTTGGACGCTTTTAAGCACGCTTTGCTTTTATTAGATGTGTCAATCACGGTCCAAATATGGAGTGCTGTTTTGATGCAAGTAGGTTTGTGTGATGTTTAATGGTATTATTAGAAACTAAGGACTGAAGTGTTATGTTCTACTTTTATCATCTGCAGATCTTCACAGGAGATGCTGGGACACGTCAGGACCCCTGGGGGTTTCATGCATTTATCATTAACATATTTTGTGGATTTTCCCTATAGGCATGTGAATCAAGATCATTCTGGTCTTTTCTGTCCACAGGCATCTTTGTTCTGGATAATAGATGCCTATGCATATGTATAGTGAGCAAAAACACTGTTTAAATCTAATGTACATTTTTATGCAGATAGTTTCATATTAATGGATTTTTACAATAGTAAAAAAGCATATATTTTATTCCTTAATGTTAATTATATCCCACAATTTTGGCCTGATTCTCTGTATTTGTTTCTGATTCTGTTATAATACAAAAATACTCATAATGACCTTCAAATGTGATTTAAAGCAAAACAATGCGCTTCATCTTGTCAGTTATACACTGTTGTTCTTATAAACTTCTCATTTCGCGAATTTTTATGTCTTAGAACGATTACAGTGGCAAAAATATGAAAGAACAATGAATTTAATACAGTAATTATATTATACAATTCAGTAAGATTACTTTCGTTAACGAAGTTCATCCAGTATTTTCAAGATACATTATAGTATGACTGAATTAGACAATTATTTCCACTTGAATATATGGCTGAATGTTTTTTCATACGCTTAGGGGGATTTCTGTACGTAAGCCTATTTATCTTCCATTAATCATCTTGTAGTACTTTTCACTCTTGATGGTGGCTTATGTGCTTTCACTTTATGATGGGCAACAGCGACATCTAGTGTTACACTTCTAAATTCCTACTAAGGCGAGAGAATTCCTTGTAAGTGAAAGTGAAAGTATATATAATGCATTATATGCATATATATATAATAATTATAATGCACTCTAATAACATTTAACGTGCGGTAGTAGTTAAAATGGACAGGTTTCTACATTTAGAGTGCATCAAATAATAACTAAATGCGTTCAAATAACCACTAATGTTTTAGTTTAAGACAAGCTACCACACTCATCCCGATGTCCTTATAAACACCTCAACCTCCAGCATTCTCTTCCCTTGACTCACCTTTACACCAGTGCCAGTTCAGAGACGCCAGAGGGTTGCTGGGACTTTCCCTGGGAAAACACAGGTTCCATCTGTCCTGTTTATAATGCTATAATAACAGTAAGTCAGGGTTATAAAGAGGAAGGCGGAAATAGAAAGTGGGGTGTGTTGCTGTAAATCCAAAGAGCAGGTCAGGAATGGTATGCTTATTACTTGAGTATTATTGCATAAATATTCCGAGTTTTATACAAGTTAAGAACGATCAAAATAGCATTTGTGGCATTGTGATTAGGGTAAGCATAAACTAATTTTGACTCTTTTCTTTATAAAATAAAGTGAAGTAAAGGCATTTACAATGGAAGTGAATGGAGACAGTTTCTGGAGGATTTAAAAGCAGAAATGTGTAGCTTGCAGTTTTATTAAAGCATTTACACTCATTTCTATTAAAAAAAATCATGCATTATTTGAGCGGTTTTAAATCGTTATTTTAGCGTTTGGCGCATTATGGTTTTGTATAAGGTATGTATTTTGTACAGTTGGATCAAATTTTACGCAAAGGTTAGTAAACGGTTAGTAAGCGTTTTTATTACAATTAAAAAGTGTAAACAGCATATTGTTTACGTATTGTTGCTGTGTTTAAAAAAAAAAAAAAAAGCATTAACGGTTAAGGATTGGCCCATTCACCTTCACTGTAAGTAATTCACTGTAGTTTGTATTTTTCCCCGTTTCTAAAATGAGGGACAAAACGAAATTTGGGCAATCAACATTAGGCCTGATTAAGCCTAACCTGTATATTCCTTTCTTTCAAAAGCAAAGAACAAATTTAACAGTAGACATTCAGAAGAAGACTAAAACAACAAGATCTTTTTCAACAAGTTTATTAGCAGTGACAAAGATTCTTGAGACATAATGTAACCCCCTCTTCATATCCATTGTAGGAAATTCAGAGAGAGCAACATAAAACGAAATATTAATTCAAACTTTTAACAGTCAAAACATGGCACAACTGAAGATTGTTGGGGGGTAATGGGGGGTGTAGGGACAGGGGAAAAGGAAAAACAAGAGTTTTTCATGTTCTGATGCGATTCCGTTTAATATATCGCTTGACACAGGCACCCTGAACTTGAAAAGTTTGCAATATTAACTTTGCATATAATTGAGCGTATGAATGAAGACAAATACACATGCTTGCACACGAACACACACACATATGCATCCACACGCAAAAAAAAAAACAGTCGAGTTGTCAGGACAGGACAAGAATCATTCATACATCAAGAAAACACGTGAAATTTGAATATGCATGTTCTTGGTACAGATTTCGCAAACACACCATTTAAGTATCTCTGTACCTCTCTCCATCCGTGCGTGCTCTCATTGCTCTAAACACTAAGGGGAGCGATTTATGGAAATAATTTATATTGCAATTATATCATTTGTGGGGTAGTAAGTGCTTATTTAAATTGAGGAAATTAAGCTAATGTGCAACCCCCCAAAATATAAACTCCGTTCTGTTTGCATTCTGTGCATAGAACCTCTATATGTGCATTTGACCCCTGGAGTTGAGTTTTTTGACACAAAGGCCAGGTTCAGTTTGAAGACAAATACACATGCTTGCACACGAACACACACACATATGCATCCACACGCAAAAAAAAAAACAGTCGAGTTGTCAGGACAGGACAAGAATCATTCATACATCAAGAAAACACGTGAAATTTGAATATGCCAACAAAGATGCATTTTCTCAGATTTCGCAATCAAACACACCATTTAAGTATCTCTGTACCTCTCTCCCATCCGTATACGTGCACTCATTGCTTTAAACACTAAGGGGAGCTATTTAAGATGTATGTAAATAATTTATATTGCAATTATATAATTTGTGGGGTAGTAAGTGCTTATTTAAATTGAGGAAATTAAGCTAATGTGCAACCCCCCAAAATATAAACTCCGTTCTGTTTGCATTCTGTGCATAGAACCTCTATATGTGCATTTGACCCCTGGAGTTGAGTTTTTTGACACAAAGGCCAGGTTCAGTTCATTCTGCTGACAGCGTTTACAAAGACGTAACTGAGTTAAGGAGACAGCTCACCCAAAATCTGAATTCTGCCAATATTTACTCACCCTCACGTTATTCCTAACCGGTTTAAACGGTTTTCGTCAGTGAAAGTCAGTGGGGTCCGAAACAGACCAGACATTCACTATACGTTGGGACAGGGTCAGAAAGTCTTTGGAATGACATGAGGTTCAGTGAATGATGACAGGATCTTAATTTTTACGTGAACGATCCCTTTAAGGGGAAATAGGGATACAGGGACAATGCATGTTTACAGATTTCATAATTAACTTAATGTAATAACAGATGGTTATAAATTATGCCTACATCAGTAACTCCTTAAGCAAATCCCTTGGATATAAAAAAAAATGCTCTATGTGAGTTGTTCAAAGACAAAATGTAGATAACTACAATAAAACTCAAGTGATGCAATGAAGAGATGTGCATCTAAAAAGCCAAGGAACGAGCTAATTATCGCAGGATTTCTCTACATTGCACAAAGCTTTTAAGTGGAATCTAAACGGAATTAGAAAAGATGAAGCAGAATTTAACGACCTTCCATCTGTTTCATCGACAGCTGCAATATCTTTTGAACCAAGACATCGAATACAGACGTCGGATACCTCAAGAACAGAAACAGATTAAGAACTATCCTGAAACATCCCACGTTTTCTGAAGACAGACCACACTGGAAACCATTACATGCTGCATTTAAAACATGAAATGGAAAAAAAAAAAAAACAACTCTTGCTAAGGAAAGACATACAGATACGTAGTGTGGTTAACGTCTTCCATGTGTACTTAAATCTTTTCACCTGGCAGTGTTTCATGGTCATGTACAGAAAACATTGATGCCAAATGATACCTGTAAAGACGCAAGCATTGGCTTTCAGTCAAAAATTAAATCCCTCAAAAGGTTAAAATTTAAAAAACAGCTCGTACAAACATGGGACGTTCTTTTCATATTTGGCAATAACACTGTTGGTGCATTTTTTTGTTAGATAGAAGAACACTGCCCTAATTCTACCTGAGTGTCTTTTTTCTTTTCTTTCCTTTTTCACTTTTTTTTTTCTTTTCTTTTTTTTTTTATATTTATTTTCTTTTGAGATTGCGGACCGACAGTCCTTAGGTAGAGGTTAAAGTTAGTAGCCTATGATTAATTACTAGAATTTCAAATATGTACTGATATGTCAATGTTTAAGGAAATACAATTCAAGAACATAATACATAAAGTGCTACTGATTCTTATGTATAAATCAATTAATCTGTGAAATGATAAAACAGAGGATAGACTGTAAGTTAAGAATGCATTTTCTGACATTAGAAAGAGAAACATGTACACAACGGCAGAATTCCTGTTAACGGCGGTTCTATTGATGAGGCTCATATGTGCTTTAGCAAGCGCTTAACCGATAAGCATGGAAACCCAGGTACAAATTAAAACATACAAGAAATAAAAAGCATAAAAGTGTGATTGTGGTGCTCAATAATCATAAAAAAAAAAACACTAGGGGATTCTAGTCTCTTGAGTGAAATAAAAAGTCCGGATCGTTCGCCAGCGACTGCTCTCTACGTAGGTTCCCTCTAAATTGTGGTGTAGTCCCAAATGAAGCAAAAGTAGTCGCTACTGCCTTTCCAGGCAAAAACAAAGCCCTATTTCGAAGAGCAGCTCTACAGAACTTAACCAAAACGAACTAAAGCCTCCATAATGTACCTATAGCATTGAAGCTAAAGCAACTCTGTGGTGTGGCACATCTTATCGATTAGTTCTGGGTTCTAACTGCTACTTAAAAATTAAAAACATAAAACACTCAAGATAAAAGAGTATAGCGTGATCTCTGTCCTCCGTTTACACACTCACACAATGAGCAAGAGACTCGAATGGCTGTCAGGTGACAGAAGCGTGAAGAGACGACAATAAGACTATTGAACGATAGCACTTTGAACTCTTCCAAAAGAGGACGCACAGAGCAGCATACTGCACATGCACACTACAGGGCGTGTGGTTTCCCAATCCGAGTGTACCTCATAACCTGCCCTGGGAGTTTTTAAGTATTTCAATGAAAAGAAAAAGAAGGAAGAAAAAAAAACAAAAACAAAACAAACGAAGTGGAGACGCGTCACTAACAGGACTGATCCAAAATTGTCCAGAAATTAAATTAAGACAATTATTTAATCCCAAAGGCTTGAACTAACCGTCCCCCACACATAAATGGAGTCCGATTCCCCTGAATCTCCAAAAAACAAAAAAGCCATGTAGTTCCTCTGGCCACAGTATGTTAATTCACTGTAGAGCGACACTCTTCGGTTCTGTGCCCAAATGAATTCAATGTGACCACTACATGATTATTTGAATTCAAGAGGGCACACATGGTGACATGCTTCCCTCCTGGACACTCTCTTAGGTCTGTGAGTACTTAAAGGAGAAGCTTCCGCCCAACCAAATGTCATGACAGGGTTATCATGAGTGTTTGACGTGTGAGTTGTATGTCCCCTAAGTCATCGAAATTGTCTTCAGCAACATATCCGCATTAGAGTTGAGTTCCACAGCTCCTGTTCTTCCATTCTAATATTCTAAAACCAGCTAACCCGTTTTCCCAAGCGCACTCTGTTCCTCTGCGCTCAGCCTTGACTGCTGACGGGTAACAAGGTCCTTTCTAAACCATTGGATTAGTTCTGATTCAGGATGTTCAGAGGCAGCAGCCATGTTCCTCAAGCACATCTTTTTGCAGCAGAGTTCATCTGAGATATAGTGTCCAGACACAGCTTCACTGAGCAGGTCCGTCCCATGACTCACTGTAGAGGACTGCTCGATTTGGATCTGCGAGAAAGTGAGAAAGATGAATGTAGGTGAGAGCTGGGAACTCTAAAACCACAAACAAAAATGATATGGGAAGGGTTGAAGGATGTGAGCAGATGGGGCATTGGGTTGCAATATCTAAATGCTGAAATGGTAAATGGTAGCTTACCTTGTTTTTGCAAATTCAAAATATATTCCATTTCTGCAAAGAAGAGGGATGAAAGCTTAATGTAAAAATACCCAAGTACAGCTATGATTCAATCAAGATCTGTCCTTTTTATTTAACTTGAAAGAAACTCACACTAACAGAATAGCTTCAAAATACTGCTGTCTTGTTGCTTTATATAACCACACTGAAATAACATATATATATATATATATTCAGTCACAGTATCATTTGTGTGTAAGAGTAACAACCTTATTCTAATTTGAGAAGGCTAAGTAACAACTTAAGATGTAGACTAAACCAATTTATCTGCAGCACACAAACTTTTTTGTACATTAGAGATAGACTGATAATTAGTTTGAACAATATTTTTTACAGACATTTACACTTTTAAATTGGGTTGACCATAATGGCACCAATCAGCAGTACTGGGTAGTAACTGATTACATATAATCTGCATCACGTAATCAGATTCAGAAAAAATTTAATACTTGTAATTAGATTATATTAGGTTTTAAAATGCTCATAATCAGATTAGTTATTTTTTATGGATTACATGATTACTCACACAATATTCATAATTTATTGATTCACTTCAATTCTTATTTTTTTTCTTTTAAATTTTCCTTTCTAAATGAAAGAGTTCTAAATGAGTTTGAGAAACCCTGTTGTAATGTTAAAGGATTTCATGATGTTGATAAAGAATGGAATATATTTTCTTTCTCTTTGTTTATCAACATGGTACACAATAATCCCATTCAAATCTATGTGATAAACGAGTCAAAAGTAATCTAAAAGTAATCAAAAAAGTAGTAAGACTACATTACCTAATGTGTGTAATCCAGGTTGTTGCTAACTACAATTTTTGTTATGCAATTTGTAATGAGTAACGGACTACAATTTGTAATAATTTACCCAGCACTGCCAATCGGTATGTCTCTAAAGCCATGTGCCCCAGAAATGAAATTATTTGTATTATGTCTTTTCGGATAATTACTCTGTTTTTAAAGATTTATTTTTTGGTGTTTTTGCTTTTTTATTGATAGGACAGTAATGAGACAGGAAGTGAAGCGGGAGAGAGAGTGTTGATGGGATCGAGAAAGGTCCGCGAGCCGGGACTCAAACACGGGACGCCTGAAGCGCCTTTAAAGTTGTCCAAATGAAGTCCTTAGCAATGCATATAACTAATCAAAAATTAAGTTTTGATATATTTAAGGTAGGAAATTTACAAAATATCTTCATGGAACATGATCTTTACTTAAAATCCTAATGATTTTTGGCATAAAAGAAAAATCGATAATTTTGACCCATACAATGTATTTTTGGCTATTGCTACAAATATACCCCAGCGACTTAAGACGGGTTTTGTGGTCCAGGGTCACATATGTGTCTATGGTGTGTACTGAATGCAGTACACTCAATCTGTTTTCCCTCACATGGAGGGCTATGAAGTACTGATGCTTATTAATTCTGTTCTATTGACATTTCCCCCATAGGCTATGATTTCTCTGAGGTTCTGCGCTGGTTTGGAGAGCGAGTGGACCGTATCATTCTCCTCTTTGATGCCCATAAGCTAGACATATCTGATGAATTTTCTCAAGCGATCAAAGCTTTCCGTGGGCAAGATGACAAAATCCGTGTGGTACTGAACAAGGCCGATCAGGTGGACACTCAGCAGCTAATGCGGGTTTATGGTGCGCTGATGTGGTCTCTGGGGAAGGTGATCAATACTCCAGAGGTGGTGAGGGTCTATCTCGGCTCTTTTTGGGCCAAACCTCTTCAAAATGCAGAGAACCGGCATCTGTTTGAAGCCGAAACACAAGATGTCTTCAGAGACATCCAGAGTTTGCCTCGCAACGCTGCCCTGCGTAAGCTGAATGACCTCATCAAAAGAGCTCGTCTTGCTAAGGTAAGGGTTTTAATGTCACAGTCCAAACACTTAGCCATGCATTTTTATTCTTTTAAAAAGTTGTTTAGTGCTATTTATATTATTGTAGTATAGTTATAATTTCTTTTCTTTTTTTTTTTATATTTATTTTCTTTTGAGATTGCGGACCGACAGTCCTTAGGTAGAGGTTAAAGTTAGTAGCCTATGATTAATTACTAGAATTTCAAATATGTACTGATATGTCAATGTTTAAGGAAATACAATTCAAGAACATAATACATAAAGTGCTACTGATTCTTATGTATAAATCAATTAATCTGTGAAATGATAAAACAGAGGATAGACTGTAAGTTAAGAATGCATTTTCTGACATTAGAAAGAGAAACATGTACACAACGGCAGAATTCCTGTTAACGGCGGTTCTATTGATGAGGCTCATATGTGCTTTAGCAAGCGCTTAACCGATAAGCATGGAAACCCAGGTACAAATTAAAACATACAAGAAATAAAAAGCATAAAAGTGTGATTGTGGTGCTCAATAAAAAAAAAAAAACTAGGGGCTTCTAGACTCTTGAGTGAAATAAAAAGTCCGCATCATTCGCCAGCGATTGCTCTCTAGGTTCCCTCTAAATTGTGATCTAGTCCCAAATGAAGCAAAAGTAGTCGCTATTGCCTTTCCGGGCAAAAACAAAACCCTATTTCGAAGAGCAGCTCTACAGAACAAAACCAAAATTAACTAAAACCTCCGTAATGTACCTATTAGCATTGAAGCTAAAGCAACTGTGTGGTGTGGCACAGCTTATTTATTAGTTCTGGGTTCTAACATCTACTTAAAAATTAAAAACATAAAACACTCAAGATAAAAGAGTATAGCGTGATCTCTGTCCTCCGTTTACACACTCACACAATGAGCAAGAGACTCGAATGGCTGTCAGGTGACAGAAGCGTGAAGAGACGACAATAAGACTATTGAACGATAGCACTTTGAACTCTTCCAAAAGAGGACGCACAGAGCAGCATACTGCACATGCACACTACAGGGCGTGTGGTTTCCCAATCCGAGTGTACCTCATAAAAACTCCCAGGGCAGGTTAAGTATTTCAATGAAAAGAAAAAGAAGGAAGAAAAAAAAAAACAAACAAAACAAACGAAGTGGAGACGCGTCACTAACAGGACTGATCCAAAATTGTCCAGAAATTAAATTAAGACAATTATTTAATCCCAAAGGCTTGAACTAACCGTCCCCCACACATAAATGGAGTCCGATTCCCCTGAATCTCCAAAAAACAAAAAAGCCATGTAGTTCCTCTGGCCACAGTATGTTAATTCACTGTAGAGCGACACTCTTCGGTTCTGTGCCCAAATGAATTCAATGTGACCACTACATGATTATTTGAATTCAAGAGGGCACACATGGTGACATGCTTCCCTCCTGGACACTCTCTTAGGTCTGTGAGTACTTAAAGGAGAAGCTTCCGCCCAACCAAATGTCATGACAGGGTTATCATGAGTGTTTGACGTGTGAGTTGTATGTCCCCTAAGTCATCGAAATTGTCTTCAGCAACATATCCGCATTAGAGTTGAGTTCCACAGCTCCTGTTCTTCCATTCTAATATTCTAAAACCAGCTAACCCGTTTTCCCAAGCGCACTCTGTTCCTCTGCGCTCAGCCTTGACTGCTGACGGGTAACAAGGTCCTTTCTAAACCATTGGATTAGTTCTGATTCAGGATGTTCAGAGGCAGCAGCCATGTTCCTCAAGCACATCTTTTTGCAGCAGAGTTCATCTGAGATATAGTGTCCAGACACAGCTTCACTGAGCAGGTCCGTCCCATGACTCACTGTAGAGGACTGCTCGATTTGGATCTGCGAGAAAGTGAGAAAGATGAATGTAGGTGAGAGCTGGGAACTCTAAAACCACAAACAAAAATGATATGGGAAGGGTTGAAGGATGTGAGCAGATGGGGCATTGGGTTGCAATATCTAAATGCTGAAATGGTAAATGGTAGCTTACCTTGTTTTTGCAAATTCAAAATATATTCCATTTCTGCAAAGAAGAGGGATGAAAGCTTAATGTAAAAATACCCAAGTACAGCTATGATTCAATCAAGATCTGTCCTTTTTATTTAACTTGAAAGAAACTCACACTAACAGAATAGCTTCAAAATACTGCTGTCTTGTTGCTTTATATAACCACACTGAAATAACATATATATATATATATATTCAGTCACAGTATCATTTGTGTGTAAGAGTAACAACCTTATTCTAATTTGAGAAGGCTAAGTAACAACTTAAGATGTAGACTAAACCAATTTATCTGCAGCACACAAACTTTTTTGTACATTAGAGATAGACTGATAATTAGTTTGAACAATATTTTTTACAGACATTTACACTTTTAAATTGGGTTGACCATAATGGCACCAATCAGCAGTACTGGGTAGTAACTGATTACATATAATCTGCATCACGTAATCAGATTCAGAAAAAATTTAATACTTGTAATTAGATTATATTAGGTTTTAAAATGCTCATAATCAGATTAGTTATTTTTTATGGATTACATGATTACTCACACAATATTCATAATTTATTGATTCACTTCAATTCTTATTTTTTTTCTTTTAAATTTTCCTTTCTAAATGAAAGAGTTCTAAATGAGTTTGAGAAACCCTGTTGTAATGTTAAAGGATTTCATGATGTTGATAAAGAATGGAATATATTTTCTTTCTCTTTGTTTATCAACATGGTACACAATAATCCCATTCAAATCTATGTGATAAACGAGTCAAAAGTAATCTAAAAGTAATCAAAAAAGTAGTAAGACTACATTACCTAATGTGTGTAATCCAGGTTGTTGCTAACTACAATTTTTGTTATGCAATTTGTAATGAGTAACGGACTACAATTTGTAATAATTTACCCAGCACTGCCAATCGGTATGTCTCTAAAGCCATGTGCCCCAGAAATGAAATTATTTGTATTATGTCTTTTCGGATAATTACTCTGTTTTTAAAGATTTATTTTTTGGTGTTTTTGCTTTTTTATTGATAGGACAGTAATGAGACAGGAAGTGAAGCGGGAGAGAGAGTGTTGATGGGATCGAGAAAGGTCCGCGAGCCGGGACTCAAACACGGGACGCCTGAAGCGCCTTTAAAGTTGTCCAAATGAAGTCCTTAGCAATGCATATAACTAATCAAAAATTAAGTTTTGATATATTTAAGGTAGGAAATTTACAAAATATCTTCATGGAACATGATCTTTACTTAAAATCCTAATGATTTTTGGCATAAAAGAAAAATCGATAATTTTGACCCATACAATGTACTGTTGGCTACTGCTACAAATATACCCGTGCTACTTATGACTGGTTTTGTGGTCCAGTGTCACATTTATTGTATTAGTCCATCTCTATTGTACATTCATAAGACAGTATATCCTTGTAGTACATAATAAAGTGAAAGTATTTAAGAAGAAACTTAAACAGTGAGTTACCTTTAGTGTGATAAATTACAGCAGCTTTTAGATCAAACGACCCCCAACTAGACCTCCTGTCAAAGCCCTTAGTATGGCCCTGGTCCTTGGCCGAAGCCACCTTAGGGGCAGCTGGGGAGGTGGGAGGCAGCTCGGCACAAATGTCCTTAGAGGAAGAACAAAACACTATTGCACCATGAACCCCCGTCTCATCTCTCTGGGCATCCAGGCTGAGGACAGAGTTCTCGGGTATGGCCCCGCTTGCCGCCTTGGCACCGCCGCTCGCACCTCGACTCAGATTCTGAACGTTAATCCATTTGTCTGGCTCGTGAGCCTTGGGGAAGGGTGGTTGTTGATCCGGTCTCTGAGAGGTACTGGAAGTCTGAGTGGCCACTGTAGCAGAACAGCCTCCCTGAAAGCTCACCTCCACCGGCACGTCCTTTCCGTTTGAGTGGCACGCCACGCCCTCTGGTCCGGCGCTAGGCTCGTTGATAAAGGACAAGCCCCACTGATTCTGAAAAATTTCCCCCAGAGACTTCTGATTTGTTGGAGCAGCAGGGGGATCGGCTTGGCGGCCGCTAGGGAGTGAGAGTTGCATATTGGAGGGGGTGACGGGGTAAACGAACAGACTGGGCTTCCTGGGCTCAGCCACAGAGGTTGTGGAACTTCCAACGGCCGAAGTGCCGCTACCAGGGGGAGATGCTACATTCTCAGCGGCAACAGCCAGGGTCACCAGCAGAGGACCAGCGCTGAAATGGGGGCCGGGCAGGGGACAGCCATTCCCTTCCCCCGGCAGGGGACCGTTGGTAAACTTGGGGAAGGGTGGTTGTTGATCCGGTCTCTGAGAGGTACTGGAAGTCTGAGTGGCCACTGTAGCAGGACAGCCTCCCTGAAAGCTCACCTCCACTGGCACCTCCTTTCCGTTGGAGTGGCACGCCACGCCCTCTGGTCCGGCGCTAGGCTCGTTGATAAAGGACAAGCCCCACTGATTCTGAAAAATTTCCCCCAGAGACTTCTGATTTGTTGGAGCAGCAGGGGGATCGGCTTGGCGGCCGCTAGGGAGCGAGAGTTGCATATTGGAGGGGGTGACGGGGTAAACGAACAGACTGGGCTTCCTGGGCTCAGCCACAGAGGTTGTGGAACTTCCAACGGCCGAAGTGCCGCTACCAGGGGGAGATGCTACATTCTCAGCGGCAACAGCCAGGGTCACCAGCAGAGGACCAGCGCTGAAATGGGGGCCGGGCAGGGGACAGCCATTCCCTTCCCCCGGCAGGGGACCGTTGGTAAAGCTAGCCGAGGTGATGGTTTTCACCGCAGACATGGGGACCTGTGGCGGTCTCCCAGGCACCTGGGGAGCAGGAGTGAGAGCCTCCCCGCCAGCTTGGGCAGTCTTATTGAGGTTCTCCTTCACTTTGCTTGCATAACTGATCTTAGGCACAATCTTAGCGCTACTATTGTCCACAGGAAAGACAGGTGGAGGCTTGAACAAGGTCCATGAGTCCTCTTTGGTGGAGGTAGCCACCTTAACCTTGCTGGAGCGATCCTCAAACCGTTTGCCAGCCACTTTGCTGTCTGAGTTTTTACGCTGAAGTTCAGCCACCGGCAGAGGAGGTGGGGTGGCGGAGGCAGGTGGTTCCTTGGCTTTTAAGTGCAGCTCAACTTTTGAACCAGTTCTGCCACTCTCCACCTGAGAGCCAGAGGCCGAGTCCGGCGCCACAGGCCCGTGGTCTTGTTTGCCACCCTGTTGCATGGCTTTTCCCTGGGTAGAAGCAGTCACATTGTCCCCGGCTTTGCCATTCCTCTGGGCCCGGCGCTTCTTGGGAGTAGTGTATCCACTCTCTGAGCCACTGCCGTCATTGTCAGCTCCGGGTGTGCTAGGGTAACCGTTGGTAAGTGGTACAGAGTTGAGAGACACCACACCGTTCAGAGTAGCCAAAGCCTCTTTTTTGCCCTCAAGCGTGTTCAACTCTGAGGACTTGTCATTTTTGAAGTCCATGCTGTTTCTGCTAGTGTTTCTACCTTTTCTGTCCCCTGTTGAGTCAGTGGTGAAGGCCCGTCGAGTGGGCTTCTGTTTCAAGTTGATGTCTAGCAGGTGTCTATCGCCATTGCTGTTCGCAGGGTGCAGGGAGATGTCTGGGTTAAAGGAAGCGGGAGTCACCTCTCCCTCCTTCAGAGTTCCATTTATTTTGCCATTTTCTGCACAAAGGAGAAACAAAAAGCAATAAATAGATGGAATGCAAACCACAAATCTGCATCAACTGATCCACTGAATCAACAACTTTTGGTAAACGTCCAGATCAGATCTCAAGTTCCAGTAAGGGAACGGGTCAAGTCTAGTCAATGTCTGCACAAGTTCAAGGAATATTTAGACTAGGTATGTTCTGTGGAACCAAGTCAGGGTCAGGCAGATGACAAGCGGACTCCTTCAACTCACACTGAACAACCATGGATGGTATTCAGCGTACTTCCAATTAAAACCAGTGCAAAATGACTAAAATGTTGGAATATCTGTGATTTGTTAGCCATAACCAACCTACATCTGAACAGAGCTGGTTTATCAAATTAAATCTCTGCCAATAAAGTGAAATCAGAGATCATTGGTTTTCATACTGGGTCTGCAGAAAATTAATCAGATTAAAAAAGGAAATAAACTAGTTTTTATGTATTGTGAATTTGTGACAGAAAAATCTGCATTATGTGTGTGTGTGTATTATAGCAAATATTATTGCAATTTAAAATAATTGTTTTTTATTTTCGCATATTTTAAAATGCCATGAAATCATTCTAACATGCTGATTTGGTTCTCAAGAAACATTTCTTAGTATTGTTGATAAAAGTTGTGCTGCTTAATTTTTTTGTGGAAACTATAATTAATTTTTTTCTGGACTCTTTGACATACATTTCAAAAGAAACATTTTTTTCATTTCTATGCGCTATATAAATACATTTGATTTGAATCTAAAGTCAATGTTCTGTAGAAAAATATTTTAACATACAACTTAAAATTTGCAATCAATATATTGTCTTTATATTTGCTTACTACTTTCAAAAATGAACAGTAAAGCAGTCTGTATCCAGAGGGATCCTCTGCAACAGGATCATTATATTTGGATATCCTTATAAAAAAAAAAAAAAAAGACAAATGTTCTGTCAGGCTTGGCTTCATGATTTCTATGGAAACTATTTATGGCAGCTGATGGAATGCCCTCATAGGAACTTAAGACTGGCATTAGCAACAATTCCATTCTGGCAACCTGGTATACAGATTCAAATTAATTCACAGAGGAGAAAATCTGTCTTTGTACAGTATATGTAAACAAACTGAACCAACAAGGCAGCAGGGCAATGTAATACCCAAATCAAGGGTGCAATGTATTAATGCGGTAAAAAGTGGTTTGAGCACTAAAACGGGTCTCAACGACCTCTGTCCTTTGAGGCTGAAAATATGAGGCACGAAGAGAGCACCCCATGCAAGTGTGCTTTCATCGGCCGGCTCAAGTCTGACATCGCCCTATTTTTAACCGGAGGAATGACGTGTCAAAATGGAGTACTACTCAAGTCATATTTGGGTAGTTCCCCAGCATTGGTGGACACGTCTTAAAATCCCGAAATTAATGAAAAACTGAATACAGAAACCCCTTTAACACATTTCATGCCTTTTGTGAGCTTACATTTGTGTGCTTTGTTTGTGTCTAACGCCATGCCAGCTTCTGTGGCTATTTTCATTTGCGTGGTAAAGTCACACTCATTGAAGTGGGTTAATCGCAACATGGCAGTCAGCAACGTTTGTACTGCATGAAATCATTTACAAAATTGTTTAGCAATGTTAATGCTTTATTTGAAACAAGTTTGTGCGTATTCGGTCAACACCCGGCCAAGTCATCAGCTAGCTTAGCATGCTAAGTGGGCAGCCTGAATGATTAGCCACAGGAAGATGTGATTGTTGGTACATCACAACGCTTTTATAAAGTGACAACTGCAAAGATACATTTCAATGGGCGCTAGGCGTTTTTATGGACCAAATATGAACAGGTTTAGCGATATGCAGCGGTGTACTCCTGCGAAACCTTTTACGTCACGATAGCCAACAGAACCGTACCAAATAGCTTGATATCAACAGTTAACCCTACGCCTGTGGTGCATTTCAACACACAGGCTTACAGTTACGGGAGAGAATGCACACAAAGCTGTTTATCACTTTTTGATTAAAATCAAACATACGTGAGAGTTCTCACGCCATGAGCTTCGTTACATATAAGCAACGTATAAATAATGCAGGTTAAACGGGGTCAAGAAAATGCACTTTAAAATAAAAACAACAGAAATGTCGTTCTTTTATCAAAAGATTTTGTAAATCTACACGTCAAAGCCTGCATTTTACAGTTTGTGTAACGTTATAGGATTTTCCGGTTGCTTCCATTTACGGTTTTGGAACGTTTGTATCCGTACAGCTATAGAATTTTCCGACACGTTCTATTCAGCCCACTTGGTGCCGAGTTCGAATAGGCGGTAAGCGCGAGCCCAGGCACTGTCAGGCCCACTCACATGACTGTGAAAGAGTAATAGGCCGCGATTCGAGCTAAGCTGGTCAAACGTACACCCCTAAAACAACATTAATAGCGACTCTGCATGGCTGACCGCGTCGCCCGAATTGTATTACCAAAGTATTCGGGTTTGTACGAGAAATGGGCAGCGGTGAAGTTTGTGAGGTTTGGCCGTCCATCATGGCGGACAGGAAATAACAGAACAAGCTTAAGCTACGAGCAGGAACATTCCACAGGAGCCGGTTCATGTTGCTGTGGCAGCAATGGGGCAGAGCTAACAGGCTATTCTGGATCTCTGACGGCCGCGTTCCTTTTAAAAACGACCCAAACTGAGAGGTATGTTTGCAAATGAATTATAAGTCAGGAAAATATGTAATGCGTGCTGAGAGACCGGTGCACAAGGTCAATGTCCCTTTACGCTAGCTAGCTTTGCGGCTAACACTGGATATAACTATTTCAAACAGTACAGTCAGCAAAACATGCTCCTCGTTTGACTTAACTAATGCAGTATTATTGTGAACAAACAAACTACGACATGTATTTGAAGCTTGTCAGAGGAAAAAAAAACAATGAGCTTTGCTGGTTACCAACCTGTTTTCTTCGTCTGCGTTTTCTCGTTCTGGAACTTACTGTGGTTCTGATCATTGTTTACCGATATGTTCGATCGATCAGGGCCGTTCTCTGCTCCATGACTGATATATACTCCGGTTGACCCTTCGCAGGGACGTTCCTCCATTTAACGTTAGCGCAAGTGACAAAATGTGCTCAACCGGTGCTCGGTGGACGAGGGGATTTGAGACATTTGCACTGCCCAATCACCGCCTGCGTTTGGGGGTGCCAGAGAGAGGCGGGCGGTGTTTAGTGCGTCGCGATGCAAGGCGTGGAAGCTTCCCGGTCAAGGCCACAGGAAGCTGTAACGAAGACTCTTGCAATCACCCGAGTGCTGTGTCAGTGCCGTCTTTGGTGTACTGTTGGGAAGTTTCGTTCTTAGGGAGTAAAATCTATTTGTTCACTATTTGGTGCACCTTTCTGCCAGTAGGTGGCGACAACTTAATGTTTTATGAGCGAATCATTTACTCCTTAATCGACTCACAATCACGATCTCCGAACCACAGAAAGAAGAACCGTTTAAGCATTATACATGTTCCTTACAAATTACAGCAATTTATTTTATCCGTTTTGTGGATGCCTTAGCTATACACACGTACACAAGTCATTTGTTCCCATATGGCAAAAATTAGTTTTTAAATATATTTCTAAAGATACAAAAAATAGCCAATATTTATATTTGACAATATATTAATATATAACATATTTCATATATGTAAGTAAATATATTTTTATTGGCCATTTTAGTACATTTTTTTAAAAGTATATTTTAACAATATAAATATATATTTTGTAAGCATTTAAAAATATATTTTGTTCTTCATACGTCAGTAAGATTTTTTTGTTGTTGTTGTCTATGTGAACATACATAAAAGCAGTGACGGCGCTACACCGGGGCTAGGGGGGGCTATAGCCCCGTCAGAATTTTTAATAGCCCCGGTTTAGCCCCATTTCTTTATGAAGTAACTCTGACGTCATCAATATCATTTATTTTCTTAGCACTCCCACATATTGGTCTAGCCCCCCCTTAGCACCGGTAGAGAAAAAAATTCTGGCGCCGTGCCTGCATAAAAGTAAGCTATTGGCTATTGTAAATACTATTGTAAATGTGTTTTCGTGCCACTGAATTATGTTTTGATATTTTTGTATGTGATGGTTGAAACTATATAATTAACACATAACAATCGTAAACAACCACCTGCCCCCCCCGATCTCCATTAACTGTTGGCTTAATGGAAAATCATGTCTAAAATTGTGTGGTGTGTGAGTGACATTCAAGTCAAGGGGTCAGTGAGTGTAACTAATTTGTTCACTTTTATTTGAATCTGTTTAATGCACAAATGAAACACCACCACTATATGTAGCCTAGATGTGAGTGGTATAGTTTTGGTACATTTGTCTGGAGGCATAAATTGGCAGTTTACATGCACATTTCTTCCTCTGACCTTAGAGTGCTTATCAAAAGCAAATGACTGCCTATTTAAACTCACAGAGGTCAAGGTGATAGAATAAACCACAGATAGCCATGGTTATCCTTCTAGAATGTTGCACTTTGGACCAACACTCGTTTAACTGGCAGAGTGGGGGTAGATTGTAGATCTGGGGCAGGTTCTGTTTGTTTTCTGAGGATTTGCGGACAGTTAATTGGAATGAGGACGTGATTAATCCTATAGTTTATAGTCCTTTCTGACAGTTCTTGTATTTAGGTGAAAATTCTGTTGAGTGGAAAGTGTGTTCACTGAACCAAATGCTGTGTGCTCTACCATTCAAACGTTTGGGTTCAGTTTTATTTAATTATGTAGTTAGTTTACTTTTTTTTTTTTTAAGTGAGGATGCATTATCAAAAGTGACAGTAAAGCCTTACATATTTACAAAAATATATATATTTAAAGGGGTTATATGATTCGATTTCAAGTTTTCCTTTCTCTTTGGAGTGTTACAAGCTGTTTGTGAATAGATAAGATCCCTAAAGTTGCAAAGACTAAAGTCTCAAACCCAAAGAGATATTCTTTATAACAGTTAAGACTGGTCCACGCCCTCCTAAAACCCCTAGTTTAAACACGCCCCCACATGTCTACATCACTGTGTGGGAAGATTTGCATTACATCGCCCAAATGTTCACGCAAAGAAAGAAGGAGTAACTTTATTGTTGCCGCCACCGCCGCTGCCATGTTATGAAGACGCTGTGTGTTTCGTTGTGAAAGCGAAAATACTTTGTTTGGCCTTCCAAAAGAGGACACGACTAGAAATCAGTGGTTAAGTTGTATTTACAACACTGTTCCAGAACACTTCAACCCAAATATTCAGATGTGTGCAACGCATTTTACGGAGGACGAGGACTGTTTCCTGGGAGAGTAGACTACAATGCCGGCTGTTCTGACTCACAGACTGTAAGTACGTTTTTAATAT